GTTTATACTTATTTTAGAGGTTGGATTATTATAGAGCTCCTTGATATTAGATATTATTAGGTCACTTATTTGAAACTTCTTTAGCACTTTAAACAGGTAGGACCAATCAACTGAGTCAAAAGCCTTTTCAGCATCTAGACTGATAATCATTGCCTTTTCTTTATGTTTTTGTATGTAACTCATTACGTGCAGGGTACGTCTAATATTATCCTGGGTTTGTCTTTTGTTAATGAATCCTGTTTGATCATTATTTATCAGATTTGATATAATATTCTCCATCCTTTTAGACATTATTGAGGTGTAGATGCGATAGTCCACATTGAGTATTGATATTGGTCTGTATGACCCGTACTTTAATCTGTCCTTTTGCTCTTTAGGTATAAGTGATATAATGGCTTCTTTCCAGCTTGGGGGGATCTGTGTCTTTTTGAGTGCCCAGTTGAAAGTTTTTAAAAGTAGCGGAGTGAGGTCCTCTTTAAAAGTTTTATACCATTCAGAGCTGAAACCGTCATTCCCTGGTGATTTGTTATTCTTTAGATTCTTAATTGCATTTTGTATTTCGGTTTTGGTTATTTCAGCACTGAATTTGTTGTTTTCCTCCTCGGTCATTTGTGGGAGATCAAGTGTGTCTAGAAATAAATCAATATCCTTTTCTTCAGCCCTCGTTATTTTAGAAAATAATTTTTTGTAAAATGATTCAAAGGTGGATAGTATATCTTCCTGTTTAGTCTTTATTGTATTACTATGATTGTCTCGAATTTTAAAAATTGTCCTATCTGCTTGTTGTTTCCGAAGTTTCCAGGCTAGTATTTTAGTAAATTTTGCACTGCTCTCATAATACCTATGTTTTGTGAAAAACATCTTTTTTATTGTTTCTTGGGTAGTCAAATCATTAATGTCATTTCTTATCTTTCTAATCTCTTGTAATGTTGATTGGCTTTTATTTTGAGCATGTCTATTTTCAAGCTCTTTTAGTCCTTCTTGCAGCTCTTGCAGTTTTTTCTGTCTTTGATCTTTTTAATTGATGCTATGGCTATAATCTTCCCCCGTAGTACAGCTTTGGCTGCGTCCCAGAGGATAGGTGGAGAAGTTTCACCATTATCATTCTCATCAATGTATCTTGATATTTCTTCTGATATTTTCTTTTTAATTTGTGTATCATTAAGAAAGCTGACATTAAATGTCCATAATGTGTTTCTTTGTTTTTCACCCAAAGCTATTGTCAAATATATAGGGGCATGATCACACTTATGTCTATTGTTCCTATCTCCGCTTCAGTAACTTTAGGTCTGTCTTTATTAAAAATAAATAAATAATCTAGCCTTGTACAGGTCCTTCTCAAAAAATTAGCATATTGTGATAAAGGTCATTATTTTCCATAATGTAATGATAAAAATGAAACTTTCATATATTTCAGATTCATTGCACAACAACTGAAATATTTCAGGTCTTTAATTGTTTTAATACTGATGATTATGGCATACAGCTCATGAAAACCCAAAATGCCTGTCCCAAAAAATTAGCATATTTCATCTCACCAATGAAAGACAAGTGTTTTTAATACAAAAAAACGCCAACCTTCAAATAATCATGTTCAGTTATGCACTCAATACTTGGTCGGGAATCCTTTTGCATGAATGATTGCTTCAATGCGGCGTGGCATGGAGGCAATCAGCCTGTGGCACTGCTGAGGTGTTATGGAGGCCCAGGATGCTTCGATAGCGGCCTTAAGCTCATCCAGAGTGTTGGGTCTTGCG